CTTGGAGTCGAAAAATCTTCTGATGAGTTCTCATTCACATGATCAATTGCAGGAACCTAAAACCCAATAAGTTAAAAGATGTAGGTTAGTTAGAACATTGAATAAGATAGTGTATTTATAAAGTAAATATGATAAATCAACTTACATCTCCACCAGAAAGAGTTGGGGAAATGGTCTCAATTAATGAAACTGAAATTGAGAGAGATTCGATTCTCTGAATATAGTCTCCAGACCAGACTTCAGAGACCTTAAAAGTCTCAGATCCGTTTGTTACATTGTCATTGGTTATGGCTACACCAAAACAAAAAGATTTCCCAACCAAATCTCGAATAGGAGCAGGAACTATTTCTGGGTCTTCAATCTGTTTAAAAGCCTTCTGCAAATTTAGGCTGGTTCATAAATTAAACTATTAGCCAATATATTGAACTGTAAAAGTAAAATAACCTCATCAAATGAACCATCCCAAAGTTCAACAGCGCTGCTACCAATTATCGTTTTAGCTACAGTGTCAAGAAGCATCAATCTGCATATCTCTGTGTCATCTTTGACAACCAAATGAAGCTTAAACCTGTCAAATTCGCACATCACAAGTTATAGAAATTTCTTATTTATAATAGACAGCCAAGAGTTTATTACTTACTTTGGTGAGAAATTTGAACATGATCCACGACAAACGTCACAATAAAATTGTGGCTTCTCAGACTGAATCATCTTACCAGATGATTTCCTACCAATCTTAGTAAGACGTCGATTGTGTCTATTACACCCAAAATAGAACCAACCCCAATCCGTATCAATGGATTCAATTGTACAAATGATCTTGCAACTGTCAGCCTATATGGTATAAAAATATAAAGTTAAAACTATATATAGTTCGAAACCTCATTCAACGAAAAGATACATTTATATGTATTATTACCTCGATGCTTTGCAAAATGTCAGAAATACTTCTTACATCCACCTCATCCCAATCTGCCGCAACCTTTGTGATTTTTATCTTTTCGTTGCTTTGATTCAAAATAGCTAGGGGAAGAGGATCATTCAACATCCTGATGAAAACAATAATTAATACGCCACAAAATATGGAATTTTTAAAAGATATAAACTAAAAAAATATGTATTTCATACTTACTTCTGTCTAAAATCAATAGCTTCCTCCATTGTTGGGTTAAGAATCACAAGTGAAGCATCAAACGCATTGGTGATTTGTTTTTCTCCTAATTTTATAAAAAACCAACAAATAAAAAAATATGTTCAAACGTGTTATCATTGTATGTAAAAGATATAATTATAAGCTGGAGTATATACCTCTGTATTCACTGATCTTTGCAAACCTTATCAAGCATATGATTGTTGGATCTTTAGATTCTTCCAAATGTGTTTCAATTTGTTCAGCATATTTTCCCCATAAGCAACATGCAACTTCATTACCACTAAGAAAACATTAAGAATTGAATAGAAGAGTTAGAAAATGTAAAGTCAAAATGCATCATAACAACCATTACTAAAATACCTTGTATCACGTAAACGAAAATGAACTCTTTTCGTGTCACTCCCCTTAGCTTGGACCATAGCTACTGCCCCAAGCTCGGTAACTTGTCCCATGATATCTGCAGATATAACAATAATTAGAACTTTATTATAATAGTTAACAACTATATAGCAATAAGTAATAACCGTTTTGTATACATACCAATTAGAAAATTGGGTTTCAGCTTTCCATTATCAATCTCCTCGTACTTAGCAAGATTAAGGAAGTGATTATCATTCCGATAATCTGTAGGGGTTATTGTTGTGTCGCCTATGATTGTCATCTTGTACTGCTCATTTGTAGGTCGATATTTTCCTCCTGCCGCAGTTATTTTAACGGTGTCAATGACCTTCCATTCACCAACAGGTAGGTAACGTTGAACACGATACATTTGAGATCTTTTGCATGATGCCTGAATTTTAGCACCCTTTTAAGAAAACAGAGTAGAACATGATTCAGTATTAGTTGAGAGACGATATATAAATATACATGTAGTGAAAGGAAATGTTTCTTACAGTTTGGTCTACCAGTACGCACTCAAGAGTATCTCCTCCAAAACTGGTATTTTGTTTCCATGAATGAAGCAGTTTGAGAGTCAGACGCCATTCATCTCTGTAGGGTTTGAGATCCTTAATAAGACACATATTTCTTTCGTTTGACATGTTTGCTGTGAAAGCTGGATGGGCAGTCTTTAAGTTTAGTCTCACTATATATAGATGGGTGAAGCTATCTAGGGTTGAACTCTTTTTATGGCGAGAATAGATCTTAACGATATTTTCTCCTTTCTGTTTTTCACAGTTTCATTTATATTGTAATATATGTTTTTCTAAGAAAGATACTTGATAGATTTTGTGCGCAAAACATGCTAACTAATTAGGGAAGTTATATTTAATTGGTTGTGTATTATAGAATATCTTGCTAATCAATCATCTATATTTTTAATTTTCCTTGCTTTGTCTTTCGGAATAAGGTATTTGGATACTTGAGAATATTCTATAAATAATACGCAAAAGAAATCTACGTAAGAGGATAAGAAAGGTAAATTAGTTATGGTTATGCCTTTTTTTAAAAAATTTTTATTTAAAAATATTGGATAAGGAATGTGAAAATATTATCCTACCAAACAAATAGGATTCATAAGTAGATTTTGGCAACTAAATATTTAAATATATTAGGTGCCATTAATTCAAACTTGGTGAGTAATTCACGTGTGAAACAAATTTATTTACGATTTTGGTATTTTGTTAAGATTTGATCATCAATAATATATAATAATAAAACTTTGATATAATCCATTGATAATATCAGTAAGAAAGTAGGATTCATAAGTAGATTTTGTCAAGTAATAAATTTAATATATTTGGTGCCATTAATTAAAACTTGGTGACTAATTCACGTGGTATACTGAAACAAATTTATACTTATTTTATTAATTTAGGTTGGCATGTGATTAGATCGAAAGCATTGGCTAAGTTTAGTTAGAAATAGGTAATTTCGAAGAATATGCGCAAATATGGAGTCATGTACTTCACTTTAGAAGGAGATCAAAGCATAAACAATATAGGATCACTGGACAAATAATTAAAAATGCCTCTTTAGTAGGAATAAAATTTATTCAAAAAAACCAAACAATGATAATTTTCAATAAATGAAATAACATCAAACTTAAAAAAACGAAATAAAGAAAATAACCCAAACATAAAGTGTGTAGAAAATAAAATTCCATGAAGAAAGTTACTACTCTCCATTATTCTTTTCCACCTTGATGATCTTGGAACATTTTTCACATGTTAGATAAGAAAGGTCGTCACGATCCTCATCTACTCTTCGTTTTAAACAATTACCATTGTTTTTCAGAGAGGATTTGGTGACAGTGGAATCGTCTCTGATAGAGATCTTAAACATATGGCTGGTTGGTCTGTGCAGCCCGGAAGCTCGGTTTACCGTGAAATTCTCAAGGAAACGCCATTGACCAATCTGCAATTTTTTAACACGAGCAAGGTAGATGCTCTTACAGGTACAATGTATCTTGCATCCCTACAATAATAAATAATCATACATTGGTTTAGTCGTTGGCACTAAAAGAATTTTTTAAAATAGGTTAAAAAGCAAGACATACCATTTTATCTTCGAGTATGAATTCGAAAGTGTCTTTTCCAGAATCGTTGGAGTGAAGTGTCCACGACCGAAGAACTTTGACTTCAACCTTCCAAGAAATCTTAAATGGCTTCACATCTTTTAAAAAACTGATTTTGTCGTGTGTAACAATAGCCATAGTAGTATTTTTTTTGTTTTGTTAGGCGTAGAGAAATGTGAGGATGATAGAAGAGTATTTATTGGTAAGAGGTGAAGGGTGGTTTATATTGGTGCTAACTTTTAGGTATAATGAGGATGGAAAGGTATATTCTGATTCCCAAATATGATTAGATCGTTAGTATAGATGAAACCATGTTTCAAAATACATTTATTTTTTATTTTTATCTATCTTATTAAAACTCCTATCCAAGTTTCCAAACACATCTATTTTTTATAATTCCTATCCAAGCTACCAAACAAACCCAATTTGTACTTCAGTTTTAATAAGATAGATTATTGTCTTGTTACTATTAGAGTCCCACATCGCTTATGTTGATGTTCCTTGGGCAATATATATGTGTATGGGCAAATCCTCCACTCTTGAGCTAACCCCTCTCGAGATGTGCGTGGGAAACGGTCCATAGGGAAACAGCCCAAGCCCAACATCTCGGAAATACCACAGCATATGGGCCACTTTTACAGACTACATAGATAGGAAACTGTTTATGTGGGAAATCATAATGCTGGGCCAAACCATGGGCTCTGATACCATATTAGTGATGGGCCTAACTCACACCCAAAAGCTAGCTCAAGAGTGGAGGATTGCCCATACACATATATATTGCCCAAGGAACATCAACATAAGCGATGTGGGACTCTAATAGTTACATTGTTTACAGAGTAATAAAGATAGAAAAGGAACTTATGGAAAGAACTCAACGTGAAAGTAGACTATATTACTTGCATGTTCTTAAGAAAATGCTCAAACTTTTTGGTAGCTCACCTGTTGACGTTTTATAATAAAAAAAAATTGCGGAGAAAGCTAGAATTGAAGCAGAGATGAAAGCCGCTAATTGTTTGCTGCACGTGAGAGAGCAATAGCAGTAGCTCACCTGTTGACGTTTCTTGTTTTCTCAATCTTTATGTAAATCCGGAAGCACATACACAAAGATTTTGAAATATTGATAGACTAGAATTGTTTTACTTTATCATGTCTTCTCTTTAAAAAAATATCAAAATACGATTACTGTTCTCATGCGGTGGTAATGATTCAACGCATGAAAAACATGCATGATCAGTGTAGTGAAGAATATCAAAGTATCACAAACAAAGATTCAAACGGGCTTCATGTGTTCCTCTCAGGTTAGGAGGCAGAGCTTTCTTGGGTGGCCCTTCACGTAATCTGCAAAAGAAAGAAAAAGAAACAAATGTAGTTATCTATTGATAAAAGAGTATTGTGTTCAGGTCATGCTTGAGGCTTACCCGCATTCGCTTATTGTTGTTCTCTGTCTCTTCACAACTGTCTCGACACTCTTGTTTAACTATATTGTCCTCACAAACTCGTGGAAGAGTATTTGGATCACCAAGTTGGTTCTTCGGTGATAAGCAGTCCTCAGCGAGTCGTATACCCCATCCTTTTAAGTTGAACTTGGACTCACTGATATTACTCAGATGATGCAATTCCTGAGGATCCAATATTTTCGATCTGAATGTAGCGTCCATTCTATTACTTAAATGAAGTTGTACATCCACGTGATCGTAGTTTAGTTGACATATAGGAGAAATGTCTTTGTTTAGAGGGATACGACACTCAAATATAAATAGATAACTATCAATCTTATTTTTTCGAAAAAGTTGTTGCTGGCCAAAATAATCAAAGCTGTCCCCAAATATGCCTCTAAACCGACAGTCGACACGGATAAATACCATATTATTACCATAAGTGTTCACAGAGTCAAAAAACCCCAACACGCAAGCCCTGAATCTGAAAAATGGCTGCGAGAGAGAAGTGGGAGGTAGAGGGATGGTTAAAGAGGAGGAGGTTCCAGTTGTACGGTGAGTGAAATATGACGGCACTTCTTCACCTGACATGACCAATTGCTCAAAAACAAATGGACGTTGGTGAAGGAGAGCTTCTGGATCCAAATTGAGGCAGCTGAAATAGGTACTGACTTCTGGGGAAAGATTATCTGGAAAATCAGTCCAGCTAGCTTCAGTCAATGCGCCACAGTCTGAAAAGTCAACTAAAAGGTCTTTCAGTTTATAAATGTTAAGGGATACACGCTCCAAGTTGCTGCAGCTCTCCATGCCTAGGTATTCGAGCTTAGAGAACTTATTGATCCACCAAGGAACCTCTACAATCCCTGTTCGGCCTAGATAGAGTTGTTCTATGCTGGTTGAAATATCAGGAAAAGTCCGCAAACGTGAACATCCTCTGAGGATAAGGTCATGGAGATATTGAAGGTTGATACCAGTGGGAAGAGTCTTCAGATTTATGCATTCTGTAATTTCCAGAATATCAAGATTGTGTAAATTCTGGATAGAGGAAGGAAGTTCCACCAGACTTGGGATATTTGAGAGAAACAATCTCCTTAAAGTTGGAGACAGCATGGTTATGATTGATGTAAGTGGCTGAACAGAAAAAAACAATTTAGCGATTGTTTTTGAGATAATATCCAAAAATATAAAATATCCTCTAATAACATTAAAACTAGGTGTTTTACCCGCACATGCGGGCTTAATTTTCTTACGAATATTTATTATTTTTTGTCTTAACATTATTATTAATTTAAATAATTTATCTAATCAAATAAGTTTAATTATCTTTAAATCAATTAAAAAAAAGATCAAAATAAATGATTATTTGCATCCAAAAAATTCGACCTAAAACATTAAACTTTTTTTACGTGATAAAGTTATTTACAAACTAATTTTCATTTGAAACTTTGAAAAATTTAAAGTCTATTTCATATCTTCTTAATTGATAAAAAATTTTGAAAATTGAATCGATAAATTTACAATCAATTATTGATCTTTCAGAAAGAATAACATTAGTTTAGATAATAATACAATATATTTGAATTTATTTTTTTCAAACACGTATTTTATTAAGGTTTAACTATATAAAATATATATATAAATTTAATTTAACGTGTGAGTTCAGAGGCGAAAAATAACTTCACAGATATATATATCATTATATTATTATATTCTTTTAATTTGAAAATAATTACGTATTCTAAATTTTCAATTATCTTTTTGAATTATATACAATTAAAAATTTTACTTTATGAATATTTATTTATGTGTTTTCAGTTTTTGAAGTTTTTTAATTAAAATATATTTTCTGGATAACAACACAATATCTATATAGGAATTATATTTTTATTATTTTAAATATATATTTATATTATGGATAATTCTTATCATTATTATTAATTTAAATCATTTATCTAATCAAATAAGTATTAAATTCGTTTTTATTTTTGGCTGATTTATATATTTTATTCATTAAGGGTATAAACGATATTAACCACTCTAACTTTTAACGTGAGAGCTCCATTGCAAAAAATCACTTAATTGTCTTACGAATATTTATTATTTTTTGTTTTATTAATTCTAAAATAATATTATAAGTTATTTTTTATAGTTTAAAAAACCTAAATCAAACATTAAAATATTTTTATATGAATATATATTTAGATTATGGATCATTCTTATCATTATTATTAATTTAAATTATTTATCTAATCAAATACGTTTAATTATCTTTAAATCAATTTTACAAAAACATCAAAATAAATGATTATTTGCATCCGAAAAATTCGACCTAAAACATTATTTTTTTTTACATGGTAAAGTTATTTACAAACTAATTTTTCATTTGAAACTTTGAAAAATTTAAAGTCTATTTCATTTATTCTTAATTGATAAAAAAATTTGAAAATTGAATCGATAAATTTATATTCAATTATTGATCTTACAGAAAGAATAACATTAGTTTAGATAATAATACAATATATTTGAATTTATTTTTGTCAATCACGTATTTTCTTTAAGTTTAACTATATAAAATATAAATTATTGAAATTCGTTTTTCTTAGATTTGATATTTTTTTATAAATTTATTATATTAATTGTTCTCAGTTATCTAAGATAATAACATATTAATCTAATTTTTTAGATAATAATACAATATATTTGAATTTATTTTTGTCAAACACGTATTTTCTTTAAGTTTAACTATATAAAATATAAATTATTGTAATTCGTTTTTCTTAGATTTGATATTTTTTATAAATTTATTATATTAATTTTTCTCAGTTATCTAAGATAATAACATACTAATCTAATTTTATTTTTTAAATTTCGTTTTTAAATATAAAATTAGTTATATATAAAAAATTCATTAAGGGTAACATAGACTTTAACCAGTTTAACTTTCAACGTGAGAGCTCTGTTGCGAAAAATCACTTCGCAAATATAAATTTATTATATTAATTATTCTCAGTTATCTAAGATAATAACATATTAATCTAATTTTATTTTTTAAATTTCGTTTTTAAATATAAAATTAGTTATATATAAAAAATTCATTAAGGGTAACAAAGACTTTAACCAGTCTAACTTTCAACGTGAGAGCTCCGTTGCGAAAAATCACTTCGCAAATAATAGTATAGATAGCACATACGAGAATTCTTTTTTAAAATGACATTCATTGAAGGTGAAATGACTATTATACTCGCATTTGTAACTAAGTTATTAATTAAATACTATTACAAAAATTTTGACTAAATTAAAAAAGATTATATAATATATATATATATTATTTGAGTTTGGATTTAGTGACTAAAACTTAGGAAATGTATGTCGAGTTAGAGTTTAATGTTTATAATAATTTAACTATGTGTTTTGACCGGATACATGAGCATAATAAATTTACAAATATTGAAAACAAATATTTTAAAGTAAATACATTATCAGTTGAAATAAAATTCAAATAGATTAATGTTCACACATCAAAATATTTAATAAAAATTAAACAATAAAATCTTTATATATACAAGTTTTTATTGTAATTTAAATATTTTTAATCACATAAAAATTTTTAAAAACACTGATGCTTTTGAATTATTTAGTAACAAATTAAATATTAAGTTTTTTACATATGACAAAGTTTGTCAATATAATAAAATATTTTTTATTCGGTAAAACAAATTTGAAAACATTAATATATGCAATATATATAGAGATTTATCCTTTATAAATTATTTTTTTAAAAAAATCTATGTAAAATACTACAAAAAATAAACTATTTTTATACATGATTATCAAACCAAATTTGGTTTTAGTTTATGGTTACTTATATCTATTAACAAATATAATGGTCTATTAAGGTTAATGATGACTCATTAACATAATATACATTATTTATAGATAATGAAAATTATCAAATAATGAAATTCATTTTAACTAACGATTATATGAATTTGCTTTTAGTTAATGGTTAATTAATATAAACTATGTTTAGATAATTATAATCATCCAATCAATGATTTATATAATTCAGGTTAATTTTATATTAATTCGTTTTTAATTTATAATTAATTAAATATTAATAAATCTAATTATTCATTAAGAATAATAATTAATCATTTGTCAAAATCATAAAATATGACAAATAATTAAAACTATCTAAAATCATGGAGAAGGTGGCAACTAAGAAAATTTACTTCTCAAATAATTGTATATATATAGATATTTTCCTTATACAAATATACAAATGATTATAAAATCATATGAGTTAGAAGTCATATTTACTAGATACTAGAGATTGAAAATATATAACATGTTAATAATAATATTCAATGATCATGAGACTCCTCGTTCAAAATCACGTACATCCTTAAAACGATATTCAAAAACCATGTTACATGTTAATAACTACATTAGTTAAACAAAAAAAATAGTGACTCATTTAATTTGATTTCTTATAAAAATGTTAGTCACTTCTATATTATTAAAAGAGAAATACCCATATAAAATACCCCTGAGTTTTTCTAATTATTTACAATGTTATGCCACTGAACTTATTAATTATTCTACTTTATAGGATTCTTTGTCTTTTCACTTTAATTAATGCATTACCAAAATCAAATTTTAACCAAAAAAGTATGGCAACAATAATTAATGAAATAATTATTTTCATATATACCTTTCGTAATTAAATAAATAAATTATATAGAAATTGTTTTACTAATTCCATATACATAATAATTAATTCCAATATTAATTAACCTACCTTTTAGGATTTTTTTCTTATTAATTATCTACATATCTTTAAATAGTTAATGAACAATATTTTTTCAAAGATATATAATTATATTTTTATTATTTATAAGTAATAACTAAAATAAAAGTTACAAAAAGAAACATTTATATAATATATAATAAAAAGATTAATATAAACATATCATGTTATGTATATTTTTTATATAAATAATAGTTAAAGGTAAATTCAGAATAATAAAAGTTAAAAAGTAGAAATATATAGGACCATATATTTTAAATAGTAAATAAAACAATTTAATTATACATTATCATAAAATTTTGATCCATAAAAATAAAATAAAAACATTTGTGCAGATATACGGGTCATATTTTTAAAATAAGTATGACACAATGATAGTTTATAAGATAAAATAAAATTACTCAATATAAACTATAAAATTGTGTGTTTAAAATGTCATTTTAAACAATTACTTAAACGGGTAAATTTAGAAATATATATTATCACTTATAAAATATATAAAAACAAACACTTGCGCGGATCAAACATCAAACTTTTCGGTATTCTTCTATCAAAATTAAACCCATAAGTAATTTGTAACCATTTAATTGATACTTCATTTTTTATTTTACATCATTTAGTATAAACCTAAAAATTAAAAGAAAACAAAACACCCGCCCGGTCGGGCGGTCTAGTTTTTTTTTAAATGAGCTAAGATAGAGTACATACCTGCTCTATTGCCCACAATTTCTCAATCTTCGTTTTTCGGAAACCAAGAAAAATTGGTTTCTTAAGACGAAAGATAAAACTGAACTCGTCAATCCCTGTTTCGTCTAGAATAAGGATTGAGATGTTTGTCGAAATATCAGGAAGAATCTTCAGCCGCGAGCATCCACCGAGGTAAAGGTGATCAAGAGACTGGAGGTACATTCCTGTGGGAAGAGTCTCCAAATTTTCACAGTATGACATATGCAGCGTCTTAAGTTTATTGAGATGCTGAATAGAGGAAGTAAGCTCCACCAAACTCGAGCAATAGTCAAGATGAAGTATCTGGAGATTAGTGGCCATAGAAAGATCTGGTACTTCTTCCAGATTTTTAGATCCATCCAAAACCATCTCCCTGAGCCCTGCAAGTGACTGAAGTCCACACGTCACTTGAAAACATCTATAAAAGTACACTCTTAAGCACCTACAACTGATCAATAGTAATTTTATTAAACACTTACATGAACTCCTTCCCACAACTTTTGGAGTTTGCTATTCCGCATTTGAAGCTTAACAAGGTTCTCAGGACGAAAATTCGTAGGCATATGTTTCATTGGATATCCGTCCAATCTCAATAATCTAAGTTTAGGGGGCAAATAGTCAAAGCCTTTCGGTAAAAACCATCTCATCTTCTTGTTCCATTTCTTAACGTTATAAATCTTTAAAAAGAAGAGACTACGCATCCCTTTGAAAGCATTCTTATGTATATGCAGTTCATCAGTCTCATCCATATTCAATGAAATACCTAAAACCTTCTTAGTACCCTGAGATTATAACATATATACATTTCAAAGATCATGTGATTTTAATCTTATTATAGAGTGATATATAAGAGATTAAAGTCCAAAAAACTTACAGTGTTATCTTCAAGTACATCGCAAATTTCTTTTGAATCCATAAGGAATTCTCGTTCTCCAGGCTCATTGGACTGTGCACGGACAATCTCCTTACCCATATCTTGTAGCAAACAGTGCATCTCAACATTATCTTGTCTTAGATGTACAAGAGACTTATCAACAAGGTTTTTAAACCCAATATTAAAATCCAAGTCACTATCTGCTAGTAGCATCTTGATGCGATCAACTTTTTCACCATTGAAGAGACATGAAATGTGACGAAATATGGCTTTATCTTTATTGTTGTTTAACCCTTCATAGCTGACTATTAGTGTTCTCTCGATTTTTCCATTTAACCTATTGCGAAGGCTCGGTATCATATCCATCCAATCCTCTTTGTCCCTACCTCGTAAGTACGCACCCAAAACCTTAAGACCCAAAGGAAGGTTTCCGGCACACAATGCAATTTCGGAAGCAAGCTCCATCAAATCAGCAGGTGGAGAATTTTGCCTGAAAGCAGATCTACAAAACATCTCAAGAGCAAGGTCTGTAGATGGGAGGCATACCTCGTATATATGATCAATCCCATGAGCCCTTAAGAAATGCCTATCTTTTGTAATCACAATGATTCTGCTCCCGGATCCAAACCAGTGAGTTTGACCAGCCAAGGTATCCAACACCAGTTGATCATCCAAATCATCAATAGATATAAGAACTTTCTGGTATTTTAGCCTCTCTTTGACTGCACTTAAACTATCTATCCTTATGTCTTTTTTGTCTAAGAGTTCAGACAAGAAACTTCGTAACAAATGTAACTTCATGTTATAGTCATCGGGGTTGGCACCATTATAAATTTCCATAGTCTTATAGACAAAAGCTTTGTCTATGTAAACAGTACCTTGGAACTGACGAGAGAGTTGACTATGTAAAACTCTTGCAATGGTAGTCTTACCAATTCCTGAAGAGCCCCATATCCCAACCATCCTCACTTCCTCAGATTCTAAATGCAATAAGACACTCATATTTACAATATGATCTTCCATTCCAACAAACTCCTCAAAGTCCTTCGATGGAGATAAATTCAGTTTACCCAAGATATCATTAGCAATTGCTTCGATCATTTTTGCTTCCTGGGGCCTAACAAGAGGAAAAGATCATTTAAACACGAAATAAACAATTTATCAGTTTTCACATGTCAAAGTCTATAAGAAAAGATCAATGTTCTAAAGATCAGTCTCAGAGGCGTTTATATGCTCATCTTGGTGGCAAATTGGTCCTAACCAAAAGGATTTTTAAATCCGATTTAAACGGCTCAAATCAGTATTAATCGTTAAAAAATCAGTTTAAATCTCTACATGGGTGTAAGTCAGTTTAAATCAATCTATCCAATAAAATAGATTAACAAATTTTTATCTTTTAAAAATAATTTAATTGTAAAACTTTATTTTCTGCACATGGTGCATGAAAACACCTAATTTTAATTTGTCTACAATAAGGTGGTGCTCTTTTTTCTCCCAATTTATTTTAGCCTAAGTTCACAAGCAAATTTTGTAGGATTTAACTATTCTATAAGCAAATTTAGAGTTTTTGCATGAAAATCTTTAGTTATCCATATGCAAAGATGTGTTAGTTTACTTTGGATCGCTACTGATGTATCTGTTTTCTATGTTTGTTGTGCTAGTTTTCATTGTTAAGAACTATTTGCGTAAATGACCTAATAATACAATCTATATATAGTTAAAGAAAAAAGTTCACAAGTATTTCTTATGCTATTTATTTTCATGTCACTATTAAAAAATATATAATAAATAGATGAATAATTCATGAAAGCTTAGATCCCACATAATCCCCAAATAATAGGCACTAAAACTTAACCCATGAATGTATTTCTTATGCTATTTATTTTCATGTCACTATTATATTTATATATTTGTCATCATATAATTAATCATAGTTTATACGTGCCAGCATATAATTAATCATATAGCTAATCATATTTTTGTATGTATCATTATAATTAATCACATATTATTATATCCTAATAAGTTATTATGTAACGTAATATAAAACCATAATTTAATCCGGTGTTTGAAACCAAGATTTTATTGTATTTTGGTTATAATATATTGATTATTTTTTTCTATACTGGTTATTAGAAATTATACTAGTAAAAATCAATTTTTGAATATGTTTTGGTATCATTAATCTATTTATCAAGACATTTTGTAATAACGTGTAAAAATTAATTTCTAAAACTTTTGGCAATATATAAATAATTTTTTATAAAATTTATTTTATTCAAATAAATAATAATTTACAGTAATATTTAAACATTGGTAGTATGAAATATACATAATCTAAATGAAATTTATGGATGTACTTAATTTATAAAGAATATTATATATATACATATATATATATGTATATATATTTGCTTATAAATAAATACTTTTATTTAATATGTTTAAATCCACAACTATATTATATAAATTAGGTTAATTATGTTTTTCTAATCAGCTAAATAAATATTTAATTTAGACTTAATAATAATACATTATACTAAACATACTTAATATCTTAATCATATAAATAAATTAACTTATTTATTAATACAAAAGACAACTACTATTCATGTTAATGAAATTATTAATAAAATATTAATAAAATAAAAATACTAATATCTATGTTTCCAAACACAATTATACTCCTTTTATTATACATATTTCCAAATAATTCTCATTTATACTTTTTTTTTTTAATTTTGGAACAATCTCATTTGTATTTCAATTTTAATAATATAGACATGTACTAGTCTTCTACAAAATATCAAGTTATTGCCTAGCAATTTCTTGAGCATTGGAATAGAAAACAAGCATATAAATTGTATGTGTTACCAGTTCTGAGAATGGTATCCAAGGACATTTGCTACATCGATCAATGATCGCCGCCACAACTTTGTTTCATCCTCAGTTTTTGTCTGACAAGTCTTGGCAAAAGTCTCTCCGAATTTTCCAGTTTGTTTCCTAACATGAGACGGCTCTAAACCGTAGAAAATTGGAATAATTATTTGACCTGATTCGTCTTTGCATTTTACGATCTCAAGCAACTCATCCAGGCACCAGCTGGAAGATGAATACTTTTCAGAAAAGATAACCACAGCGATCCTTGAACTCCTAATTGCTTGTTTAAGCTCTGGACCGAGAGAATGGCTTCTCTCGATCTCACTGTCTTTGAAAGCTACGATCAACTTCCGGTCAAGCTCCTTTAGAAAGTGGCTTAGGAAAGTTATGCCATATTAAAATTAAAAAGATCGGTTTGACGTAAAGAAATACGATTCGAATACAGAAGGTTTTGGAGAAACTGAAAAAAAAGTCAACGCATATAGAGCACACAACTGAATCTCAAGAAGAAGGGTTTGTATTTGAAAGAGAACAAAATAACCTCAAAGAAGGTTAGGCCTCATGTCTTCGTCACAGTTGCTGTTGGTAATTTCATGAGTGTGTCTCTGGATGAAGGGAACTTGTTCGGGAACTCGTTGATTAAAAAGGAGATTTTCTGTCTAGTTTCATATACTTTAGTGATGAAATTAACATCATCTGTATTATTAAATTTCATAAAACCACATTGATTGATTTAGATTCAATCTACAAAAAACTGAACATCATTGCTCACGTCAATGCTTCATTATATCGCTTAGCCTAGTCACGAGTAGGGAACGTCATTACACCAACATGTAATAAAAAAAAAAACTATCATTGTTGTCTTGAGCTTACTTTTTGAGAAGATAGACTCAAAAAAAGTCATCGCAAGTAGTTATCCTTATAGTGGTTGCTACTATCGTGCATATGTGTGATTTTGGAATTTTGTTGGAAAGTTAGAAGGGAAAGTTGTTGGAAGTTTCACTGAAGAAGACTTGGATTAAAATACTCCTTTGGGTCCATTCCACACTCTTCCTTTATAAAAATGGATAAGGAAGAAACGTGTGTATGAAGTAACGATTATCAACGACTGGCTGAAAGTCACTGTTTCTAAAAATATAAGTGAAAAAGAAACCAAAATATCTTCAGTCTTTGTTTATTTGTCTGTAACAGAGACATTCAACACCAGAACTATTTTTTTGTATGAATAGGAAGAGGTCACAGGTCCAAAACCTGCGCAGTCCTACTACAACGAAGCAATTAAAACCATGTTTAAGTAGCTTCAGTCTATAAGGCCTAACAACCATCCACATGGAAAATCAATTCTCAGCACCAAAGTTCTCTTGAAATTAGTCACTGTTGCTTTGCACCCGCATATGTTCCAAAAAACATGAAACCATATTATAAATCATCCAGGTGCAATTGTTCTATACATTTATAAACCACACACCATTCACAAATTAACTTCCGCTTCTCCCTCTTATAATTCGATCGGATTCAGTTTTCTAGCGTGAAAATGATGTTCGAAATCCAAACTTACTCTAATAAGCTTTAAATCCCTGTCGAATCTTATCGCCAGTGTTGACACTCCGGTTGCTAATTGTACATTAGTCATGTA